TGACCATGGTGAAACATAGGGCAAACGTATTCATTACCTATCTTTATTGACCATGGTGAAACATAGGGCAAACGTATTCATTACCTATCTTTATTGACCATGGTGAAACATAGGGCAAACGTATTCATTACCTATTTTTATTGACCATGGTGAAACATAGGGCAAACATATTCATGACCTATCTATATTGACCATGGTGAAACATAGGGCAAATATATTCATTACCTATTTTTATTGACCATGGTGAAACATAGGGCAAACATATTCATTACCTATCTTTATTGACCATGATGAAACATAGGGCAAACATATTCATTATCTATCTTTATTGACCATGGTGAAACATAGGGCAAACATATTCATTATCTATCTTTATTGACCATGGGGAAACATAGGGCAAACATATTCATTACCTATCTTTATTGACCATGGTGAAACATAGGGCAAACATATTTTTTCTCTACCTCACTTTTTTGTTATCTGCAATTTAGAACATCCAGAAATTTAAGGTTTGTTACAATATTTACTTACATCCTATCTAAGATTTTAGGTTGATACTCTCTATCAATTGTTACCTGTTTTGAATACGTTAATTCTAACATCAAATCCTTCTCATATGGAGAAACTTTAATTGCCCTAAAAACAAAAGACGAACATGAGGATATTTTTTTGTGACCCTGTGTGACACAATCTTGCTCGTGTATCGATCTAATATGTTGTTTAAGAAATGATATTAAAAATGGTTATAATTTTTTAGAGAAAGTGAAAGCCCTAAAGAGGAAGAATGTGATAAATCTGTCGAGAAATTAGCCCCACTACCTGGATCATCATCTGAGCAGCAAGTTAAGGGAACTGATACTGATGAACAAACAGTATTATCTCCTCACAATGAAGAGTCAGAAAAGCAGCTAAAGAATGATGCTGATGAGTTCCTTACTGAACAAACAAGAGATGAAGAAAATTTAGATGATACTGAAAGTAAGGAAGATGTTCATGAAAAGAAAAATGAAACAGAAGGCTTTCTTGAAGTACCTATTCAAACAAGAAGGCAGAAGAAGAAACTTGAAGAGATTATGACTGGAAATTTATCACCTGAAAAATTGGGGAAGGATGGCTTCTGTAAGACGGCGGAAGCAGATGGAGCCAAGTTGCACTCGTCCAATAAAGAAACTAGACCTGATTTAGCTAAAAATCAAGAAGAAATTTCCCATGAATTGCCTACGACACCTAAAAAACGAGGTCGACCCAGAAAAAATACTGTCACCAATCAAAAGGAGAGTGAAGAGAAAACGGACTTAAAGGAAGATAAGACAATGCCTAATTCTGCAGAGACACCCTCACCACGTAAAAGAGGAAGACCAAGAAAATCGTCACTTCAGTTAACTGTTTGTGAACAAACTACTGTTGTACCAGACAAAAAAACACAAATGCCAAGTGACGCACCAACTCCTATAAAAAAAGAAAGCCAAGAGGAAAAATATGAATGTCAAAGTGAAGTTGAAAAACTAACTGAAACAAAAGAATTAAAACAAGAGGATGAAGTGTCATCTAAAAAATTAGAACAGAAAAATAAAAATCTGTCTTCTAAACCAATTGATGGTAAGAAGATGAGTGAAAGCATGCATGTGGAAGAATATGAGAATGAAGATGACACAACTAAAGTTTGTTTTAAACATCAAACCACAAAATCTAAAACAAAGCACCAAAAAAGGGTGGATAAAAAGGACACAAAATCCGGTGACAAAGATAGCACAAGAAAAGAAGAAAGTAAAACAGAGAAGAAACAGAAAGAACAAACAGCTGAAAGTGGTCAGTCGAAGACAAAAACGACAAAAAGGAAAGTTTTGAGAAGAGAGTCTCGAACTCTGTCACTTGAAGCCTTATCTGTTGAACCATCCTTGTTTAGCAATCCAGATGTAATGATTAAAGATAGTGTAGGAGCTCATACTGAAAACCAGTCAGAACCTGATACAAAATTACAAACTATGCCTAAAATACCATTATCAACAAAAAAGGAAGATTCTGAGAAGTCTCATGATAATACCAAACTCACTTGCCAGGCTGATGACAAAGATGAAGATTCTGTGACACAGTCTTTGAAGGACAGAGATATTCTAGAAAGTAGGACTAATCTACAGGAAAGTGAACCTCCTAGTTTGGATAAAAATCAAGATCCATGTGAGAGTAAGTCTATAGAGGACAGCAGCAGTCGTCAGTTGAGGTCTACACTTGAGAAAAAACCATCAGTTGAGAGTAAAAAAGATACAGAGAAAGTGGAAACTGATTTAAAGGATGATAAAGACAATGAAAAAAATACCCAGGAATGTGAAAAAGGTATTATATTTTGTTTTCATAAAGTTAGATTATTGTCTAATAGCTTTATTGGTTTGCTAGGTTATTTTCTGATAACTTGTCTGGTTAACTGAATTATTATTTGAGAGCTTGACTGGTTCACTATATTATTCTCTGATAGCTTGACTGGTATGCTAGATTATTGTCTTATGGCTTGACTGGTTCACTAGCTTATTGTTTGTTAGTTTGACTGGTTCACTAGCTTTTTGTTTGTTAGTTTGATTGGTTCACTAGCTTTTTGTTTGTTTATTTGACTGGTTCACTTGATTATTGTCCAATTATTTTCAGATATCTTGGCTGGCTCACAACATTATTGTTTGGTAGCTTGACTGGTTCATTAGATTGTATGGTAGCTTGACTGGTTCACTAGATTGTTTGGTAGCTTGACTGGTTCACTAGATTATTTGGTAACTTGACTGATTCATTAGATTGTATGGTAGCTTGACTGGTTCAGTAGATTGTTTGGTAGCTTGACTGGTTCACTAGATTGTTTGGTAGCTTGACTGGTTCACTAGATTGTTTGGTAGCTTGACTGGTTCACTAGATTGTTTGGTAGCTTGGCTGGTTCACTAGATTGTTTGGTAGCTTGACTGCTTCACTAGATCGTTTTGGTAGCTTGACTGCTTCACTAGATCGTTTTGGTAGCTTGACTGGTTCACTAGATCGTTTTGGTAGCTTGACTGGTTCACTAGATTGTTTGGTAGCTTGACTGGTTCACTAGATCGTTTTGGTAGCTTGACTGCTTCACTAGATCGTTTTGGTAGCTTGACTGCTTCACTAGATCGTTTTGGTAGCTTGACTGCTTCACTAGATTGTTTGGTAGCTTGACTGTTTTAATAGATCGTAGTGATGTAAGTAGATATCAGAAGGTTCTTAAGGGACAATGGAGTCTTCTTCTGTCATGTTTACCAAATTTAAGCCATTTTTAATTCCAACTTCTTGTTTAGTTTTTCTCATAATATGGAGGTAAGAAAGCACCAGATGGTTTTTGATATTGGGTGATGTTTTTACTAAAGTTATTGTCTCCTTTCACACTTGGTGTATTTCTCAAGAAGAATCAAACCTTGCTAACCATTACCAATTATTACACTTGCTCGTAGTTTCAATAGTTATCAAGTTTGTTATACATTAATCCTCTTTAATCTTAACAAGGACTTCTATATAAGTACAACACAATACTTAACATCAAAATAGTGTTGTTATAAAATGCCCAATAGCAAGTATCATTTGATTTTGTGGTTACCTGCTCTTTGTAAATTTATATATTAATTATGGTGTTGTAAATTGTTTAACAAATTATAACTGTTAAGTGTAATTTTTGATGCTACTGCAATTGTTTGGTAAGATGTCCTGCATGTTATATCGAATTTTCTTTTATATATATTAGTTTTTTTGTTTTTCTTGTAAGACAGAAAATAGCAGATTTAATAATTTTGTCAAATTTCTTTTCACAATTGTAGTAAGACTGGTACGTGTTCATCAGTAAAAGTCTTTCCATTAAATTTGTTTTTGTCATTTTCTTTAATAAATAAGAATATTCCAAGGAAGACCGAAAAGTTGCAAATGACGACGAAAGTGGCCTTGATGACAGTGAAGAATCTAGCGATGATGACCCTGATAGGCTGTGGTGTATCTGTAGAAAACCTCATAATGGAAGGTCTGTTTGTTTTTTTCAGCACTAGAAATAGTTTATTTACTGTACCATCACTTGAGTGTCAGCACATTCAGTGTTTTCTAAAACTTTATCTTGTTTTATCCTCCACTAAGTGCTCTGAGATAATTCTGGTTCAGAATACTTGTCGAGCAACATATAGATAGATAGATATGGATACCTATAGACAGTTCTTTTGTTTTTATCATTAGTATTAAGCTACCAATGTATTTCATTGGATCTAGAATCACGCTATTATCACTACTACAGAGCTTCTGTGAAGAATTGAAGTGAGCAACAATAATCATGTTTTTTGCACTTGTACCAAAATGATGACTAACCTTTTGAACATACTAATTCAAACATATCAATTAGAAGATTATTACCGTAAGCCATTCACTTCTGGCTGTTCATCAGGCTTTGGATCAATTTCTTTCTCTTGCCAGCTACATCACATCTTCTTTCCATGCTGATTTCTCCAAGACCATTTCTCTGTTCTTTCTCTTGCCAACCACCAGGTTCACGGGGGTTTTACTCCCACCTGTTTGTGATTCCCAAGAAGACTGGGGACTGATGTCATTGATTTTTCCTGCCTTAGTTGGTATGTTCACACTCCTTGCTTTACTATGGAGACATACCTTTCTCAAGGTTTTTGAATGATCAATGTAGACATTTCCAACGCTTACCTACACACTCCTGTGATGGAATGTTCCCGTCCATATCTTCAGTTTGTCCATCGGGGGGTTGTGTACCAGTTTCGTGCCTTACCTTTTGGCCTAGCCTCAGCATCATACGTGTTTTGTCGTTTGGTCCACTCCTTTGCTAGATATATTTATTCCATGGGGTTGCACTTCCATGTTTATATGGATGACTGGCTTCTTCTTGCTTATTCCGAATGGGAATTGGCCTGTCACACTCGTTAGCTCTTGGCTTTGGATCAATTTCTTTCAATTGCCAGCCACCAGCTGGTTATGATCCATTCCGACAATTCTACCATGGTGGCTTATATCAAATACCAAGGTGGGACCAGGTCCAGATCCCTATGTTTTTGCACTATGGATCTTCTTTATTTTTCCCACATACAACTGATCGTATGCAGTGGAGTCCAAACACTCCACTACATACGATCAGTCTAGCCCAAACGTTAGACTGATCGTATGTAGTGGAGTCCAAACGTTAGACTGATCGTATGTAGTGGAGTCCAAACGTTAGACTGATCGTATGTAGTGGAGTCCAAACGTTAGACTGATCGTATGTAGTGGAGTCCAAACACTAGACTGATGATATGTAGTGGAGTCCAAACGCTCGACTGATGATATGTAGTGGAGTC